TAAGTGCAGGCAGGATTGCTGCCAGTGTGTGCCTTCCCACGGGGTTTTCCCCTGCACGAGGATGTCAGCACACCCAGCAATGCCTGTGGATACCTCTTCTGGGGATACAAAGCCCCAGCATGGGCAGACTGCAGGAGCACAAAGCTCTGTGGCTGGGGAGAGAAGCAGGCAGCTCAGCTGGATTTTGATTTTAATTGCATCTTTGTTTTTTCCAGTCTGCTTGCCTGCTGTCAGGAGCTGAGTCCTGGAAAATGAGGACTGTGTGTCCCCTGCCTGGCCCCACTGATGGGCACTGGTCCATTTTCCCAGCAATGCAGTTGTGGAAGTGGCCAGGAGCAAAGCAGTGAGCTTGGCACCTTCAGATCTCCAGCATCTCCGGTCTGGAGGCGCTTGAGGAGGAGGTGATAGCAGTGAGGTAACAGGTCTGATTGCACTCCAGAGCTCACTTCCAGCCCCTCCACTTCCAAGCTGGATGGCTTGTTTTCTTTGAAACACAGCTTTTCCCTGGGAACAGCTGTAATTGTGGTGTTTAGTAGTGGAGGCACAGTGGGAAGTGCCCAAGGAGATGTCCATCCTGTGGGCAGAAGGGATCCTTGCTGGCTTCTCTATCCTGGTCCCCCTCTCTGGCGCTGGCACAGCATCCCACAGGAACTAAATCTGCCTGGGTTGTCACCTCCACGGTGACAGGAGCCATTGCCAGCACAGCCGGTCCTGCTGCGGTCAGGTGCCTGGCAGTTGTCCAGAGGGCTGCACTTGTTAAAATTAGGGGCCTGTTTCTCTGTAGTGGATCCCCTTCTAATTATCTCCAAACTATTTCATGTGGCTCATTACAGGCGACTCAAGCAGTGCTGGGCTAGGCTGACACAGCTTTGCAGCCTAGCAAGCCCTGGGTGGCAGCGGCCCCCTCCGGTAGCCCTTGGATGGGCACAGTGTGGGAAGGGGCACTTCAGGGGCCACAGTGCTGGGGTTTGGGGCTGGCCCTGGGGTGCTAAATCTGGGTCATGCTGCTGGTCCTCCTCAGCTTAGCACCTTCAGAACTGGGACATCAGGCATGGCACAGGCAAGGGGGATGCTGGGGTCACCTCACCTGCCCATGCTGCTTGGAGGTGGTGGGAGACCCTACAGGAGGTGCCATCTCTAGGTGCCACCAGGAAATTGCTGAATTAAAGAACAGAGGTGCTGAGAGAAACAGATAAAAGTAACTTCACATCACATCTTCGCTAGGTCACCACTACAGGGCTCCTGGGACCTACCCTGAAAGAGCTTTGCTGGCAGCCTCGGCTGGCAGCAGGCAAGGCTTTCTGCAGGCAGAGATGCTCACCTTCAGGTGA